ATTTTGAGTGCATACTAAGACCTCAACCATTCTAGGACTTAAGGCACTACGGAAAGGATCAAGTATCCTTCCTCCAGTACTAAATGCACATTCTGAAGCAACAGTTAAAACTTGAATTGCAAACACATCTTTGGCTAAATTGGACAAGAAGCCATACTTATTTCCGTTCACCTTCCACCAATCTAGAACTTCAAAATCCTTATTTTCTATGCTTTCAAGAGCATCCAATAAGTATCGTTCAACATCATTTTTTATCTCAACCTTATCCTTAATTGCTTGTTTTTCCATAAATCTAGAAAGATGAGCACTACTCATAGAAGAAAAACATCCTTTATAAGTATTGATAGAACTTGATGACTCCTCAGTTAATGCTTGACTATTTCTATGAATGCCCTCATGACTCACATAACACTCATAAATATCCATCAAATTGGATTTCAAAGACTTCATAATGTTACTAACAACTTCCCCATCCATATATAGATCATTCAAACAATATTCAACATAATATATTTTGTATTTTGGATCGAGGATAGTAGTAATAATTGATTCATATTTTCCATTTTACCCCAATACTTATCAAACTTCTTCTTCATCTTAGTCGCCATTTCACCCAACAAATAATTTCAACTTAATCTTCATTCATCTAATTCGATTACAAGATTACAAATTTCATGAAGATAAGCACAAGCACTAACTTGCAATGAAGCACTAAACTTCAAAGTCACATTGAAGAAATTTTCAAGAAATTTAAAAAAACAGATGCACTTTCCCAATCTAAATTTGATGGAGGTCCACCCCTCCTTCTACCATTATCATCATTTAATGCAAATACTAAGCATTCTCTTCTTCTAACCTATCGAAAGTTTTTTCAAATTTCAATGCCGTTTCCAACATCAAATAGATAGAATTCCACCTAGTTGGAACATCCAAAAACACAATAAACTTGCAATCAATCTTCTCTTTCCTTGCACACTCCTTCAATTTTTCATACCTAGAGGGACAAGATTTCACATATTTGATTGCATTGCGAATATTTACAATGGAGTCATGTGCTTCTCTCAAGCCTTCAGCAACAATCAAATTGATAATGTGCACATAACATCTCAAGTGAAAATACCTCCCATCTAGAATACATCCATCACTACCCCCAAGAAACTACCTTTCGCCTAAGATAGAAATGGTTGTGTCATTGGAGCTTGCATTATCAATAGTGATGGCAAAATTTTTCTCTATCTCCCAATCATGCAAACAAGACTCAATCATTTTTCCAATTGTTTCTCCCTTATGATTTGGAACAACACAGAAACTCAAAATACGCTTATTAAGCGTCCAATCAAGATCAATGTAGTGTGATATAAGAGACATATAATTAATATTCTGAATAGAAGTCCAAGTATCAGTTGTAAGTGAAACCCTTTGCCTGTGAAAAGAAAAGGCATCTCTCAATTTCAATTTTTCATCCAAATACCAAGAGTCCTACGAGATGGAGCCTGAAATTAAGGACATGCTACATTACAAAAGAGCCTAGAACCACGAGCTTCAACAAACTTAAAAGGTAATTCATCCAAAGCTATCATTTTAGCACATGCAACTCTACACTCTTCCTTGCTTCAGCCAATAGCAATAAGATTGGTCCTTCCACCCTCTTTCTTGTTCTCAAATGATAAAGTTTTTTGCTTCTTATCTAGAAATCTACCCAGATACATCTTACAATGATTTGTCAAATGATTACTCAATGTACTAGTACCACACTTCTTAGTACCACTAGCATAATCTACTCCACAATAATTACACTTACACCTAACATCTGCATCATCCTTTGAGACCAATAGAATGAAGTGATCCCAAACATAAGAAGCTAATCTATTAGGTTTTCATTTACCCAATGTTGATGGTGCACGTGGAGGAAGACCATATTGAAAATCTCTGTCATTTGATTGAGCTTGTGTGCCTGAGTCCATTTTCCAAAAGATCGAAGATTATAGAGACTAAAGAATGCTACAAGAAGAGGAAAACAAGCAATTATTTCTTATCATTAAAGAATAATTTGATAGGGTCAAGCAATTAAAGAATAATTATTTCTTACCATTAAAGAATCTTTCTTATCATTAATTTGAGGAAAGCAAGCAATTATTTTACTCTTGGAAAGTATAATTTGGTAAGGTCAACTTATAATAAAGAATAATCAGAGAAATGGGAAATTCTGATCAGCATTCTAAACTAACGGCTATAAAATTACGTGTCACATTGAACACTGCTTATTGCTTAGAGAATTTAAGTGTCATCTAGTGCATGTCTCAGCCTTTCTTGATACAAATGTAGTATCAATTGTACATTTTAAGATCTTGTTTTGAACACAATACTCGAAACTAACATGCTCGTCATCTAAATCAGCTTGAATTTATTTTTCTGTACTGAATAAAGTTCATTTTCTAATAAGTGAATTTTCCATTTTCTATTAAATAGAATTAATCACTCCAGTGGATTTGTGCAATGTCCTTTTTTTTTCCTCACAATGATGTAGGGCACTTAAGGATGTATTTGTGTATTTCTTATCAAATTGTTTTATTATCTCAGACGAATAACAAAGTTAAAGCAAAATATAGAAATAGGAAAACAAGATCTGTGTGTCCATTCTTGAAACAAATTGTGCAAACCAATGTGTATAGATAGATTTATCTTTTAGTCGATCAAAACACACCCCCACAATTGAGAATAGGCTAGCGTTTTTTGATTTCATCCAGACGTCTTTGTATTGCAGATTGTAATTCTGTATTTATAAAAAAATAGAAAATAAGAAAATACGAATAGAAATTAAAAAATATGGAAATACACTCTACCACTGGAGTCTGGACGTCTGACGACCGGGGACTAAAAAAAGAAGTTCTCTATTGGCGATTTGAGAGAAAATGACGGGAGAAAGATTAGGGCTTCTTGTTGGCTCTTGGGTTTTGGCTGTAGCGGCTAGACTTGGGAATTGGGATGGGAGTGAAGATTTTAGGATTTCTTTTCCTTTTATATTATGTCACTTTTAAATTTTTTTTTACTTAATATTGGCGGGTTGGGTCGGTGTGGATTATGTCGGTTTTTCTTGTTCAACCCACCACCCGACCTAGTAAGCTAACCCAATACCCGAAACCCACCTAAAAATACCAAAAAAATGAACCAAACCGATCGATTTGGGTCAGATCGGGTGTTTTTCGTGGGTTGGCTTGGGTTTCCCCACCCTCAGTTTTAGGCTATTTATTGAACGATCTAAGTATCTTGTTTTACTCTTTTCAGAAAATCATAGTTTATGCAAAATTCTGACGAGATCGAGCTTCTTCCAATAGATCCCGAAATCTAATGAAATTTGAGACAGCGAAGAAAAGAACATAGACAAGCAAGAGAAATGGCAGAAATCAATATCCAAATCAAGTTCAAAATCCTTTACCATTACCCTAGCCAGATCAACCAAGGGTGGTAGCAAATCAATGAGAAGCATTAGTAAGGGATTACGTAAATCCTGTACCAGCCCCTGTGTAATCGATTATTATCTATCCACCTTTTGGGTAGGCCAACTTCCATATCAGAACTGATGTCATCAATTTATTTCAGAATCATCAAGATAGTAGGTTCTCTGGGAGATCAATCGAAAATCCTCATGAACATATTCAGGCCTTTTTAATGCTATGCGACATGATCAGCCATGAAGGAATGTCTGCGGATGTCTTCCGACTTTGCCTATTTTCTCACACGTTAAAGGAGGGTACGTGGGAATGGTTAAATTCTCTAATTCCTGGGAGCATTGTTTCATGGAATGACATGGTGCAGAAATTCATGTTGAAATTTTTTCCGTCATCTCAGGTCCAAGCAAAAGGACCTTGAGAGCTATCTCGAAATGTAGGAAAGATTCAAAGATTATTTCAGGAAGTTTCCCACTCTAAACATCCCTAAAGAATCGAAGATTTGCATATTCTATTCGGCCTAAGACCTGAATTTCACGACATCGCCGATGCTTCCGCTAGATGGTCAATATTGGATATTCCGTTGGATAATGCCTTGGACCTTTTTGATCAAATTGTAGAAAATCAATCTATGTGGCCAATAGACAGGAAAGTCCGAAGGAGGATAGTAGGATTACATAACTACATCATTGGTAGCCCAATTGGAATCACTGACAAAGAAATTGGATATCCTTACTCAAAATGTGAACATGGTACAGCATTCAAAACCAGTTTGCAAAGGGTACGGAGTAGATCATATTACAGAAAGATGTCCTTTAGCCTCTAAACATGTAATTCTGCCCGAAGAGGTTAATTATGCACATAACTATCAGAGGCAACATGACATCCCCTATTCCAAGACATATAATTCGAGCTGGAGGAATCATCCAAATTTTTTGTAGACTAATAACCAAGGTCAAGGAGAAAATTTTCAAACTAAACTGCCAGGATTCCAACAACAACAATCGAGAAATCCATCCGTTTAGGATATATTGGGGCAGTACATGGCCAAGACTGAAACTATTATCCAAAACCAAAGTGCTACAATTAAAAATTTGGAAACTCAAATGGGTCAGATAGCAACTGCATTAGCAAATAGACACATGTACCTTACCAAGCAATACAGAAAAGAACCCAAAGGAGCAGTTATTAGCAGTTGAAGCTGTGAATTATGCAATTAATGAAACTCTATCGATCAAGACTGCTACACCTGTTCAAGCTTATGTGCCATCTATCCCATTCCCGCAAAGACTTCAAAGACCGCCTAAAAAGGAACAAGCCCAGGCTATCTCAACGAGAAGCGGAATTCAGCTACCAGAAATCACAATGAAGAAGAAAGGGGACTGAGGAGAATCGAGTACCTACATCGGGGGAAGAACAAGTGGGTCAGTCTGAAAAATCATCAAATGTTAATCAAGAAGAACAATTAGACAATCCACAGGCCAAGGCGACCTTCTTAGCAATAAAAACACACATTTAGTTCCATTCCCTCAAAGGTTGCACAACAATAAAATGGACAAACAATTCAAGAATTTCTTGAATGCCCTCAGACAACTTCACATCAACATTCCTTTTATTGACGCTATTCTAAAAGTCCCAAATTATACTAAGTTTTCGAAGGAGATGTTGACTAAGAAGAGAAAGCTGCTAGAACATGATACAATAGCACTATCTGAAGAGTACAGTGCAATCATCTAGCACAGGATCCCTCCAAAACTTAAAGGTCCAGGGAGTTTAACTTTACCTTGCTCCAAATTGATCCAGGAGCTAGTATTAATTTAATTCCTTTACCTCTTTACAGGAAAATAGGATTAGGAGATCCTAAGGCAGCATCTATTATTCTTCAACTGACGGACCGATCACTGAAATACCCATACAGAATAGTTGAAGACATGGTTATGAAGGCGGGGGAGTTTATTTTTTCAGCTGACTTCATCACCCTTAACATTGAAGAGGCATCTTAGATACCAATAATTCTGGGAAGGCCATTCTTGTCTACAAGCTGAGCATTGCTAGATTTTGATGCTAATGAGATTGTCTTAAGGGTGGAGGATAAGCAACAGAGATTCACCATGGAGAATGCAATCAAGCAACCATCATACTTTGAGGATTGTCAATGAGTTGATCATTGGGAGAGCTACAAAGGCAGGCCAAATGAAGGTACAATTGTTGGTAGGGACAATGATGGAAACTGAATTGTGTGGAGGGTGAAAGATGATAGAAGGAAGTGCAATCAGTGCATAAAATGAAGAGCTAGAAAATCTCTTTTCAAGCCACCATAAATAGCCAAAACAATAAAGTTTAGCTAAAGATTATAAATTAAACGCTTATTGGGAGACAACCCAATTTCATTATCATTTATTTATTTTGTTTTCTGCATTGCATTGTGTATAGACTTGTTTTAATTATTAGTTTACATTAAATTTAGGCACGTTTTAATTTATAGGGTATCATCATTCGATCATGTTTTCACTGAGACCTTTAAATTTAATGTTGGTTACTTCGAGTGTTTGGGCTAAGTAATATATGTTCTAAATTATTTGATCTCTAATGTTTGATTTGATTGCTATATGTAGAAACATGACGTCATGGAATACTCAAATCAACATAGATCAAGGAAAAACATGATGAGGAAAATTGTTTGGTCGTCACCCGTAGTCCCTTCCACATTCAACAGAAAAATTCAGGGAGTACCTTCATCCTTTTTTTCCTGTCTCCTTACATTCTTAATTATGCTTTAAGACATTGAGAACAACATCGGGTTTAAATTTGGGGATGGGGAAAACTTTGAATTCTTGGTTTTCTTATGGTTTTTTTTTGTGCATTTGTTTTTGTGTGTTCATTTTAAAAAAAATTGTATGATAAGTTAAAAAAAATCGTTAATTTTTTTTATTGTGTGCTTGTGTGAGTTAGACAGTTTGGCAAACAATGATGATTAAACTTGAGGTTTGGTATTGATTTATGAACTATGGATAGAGATCATGCTAGATTGATTGAAACTTATACTTGCAAAATTTGATATTATGTGCGCACTAGAACTGAGCTTGACATTGTGATGAAATGAATTGATTAATATATTTGATAGATTGATTTAGTTGGATATAGATGTTTTACCCAAAACATATTAATTATGTATCTTTAGACCAAAATTAGCACAATTTGGGGAGATCTTACTGTTGTAGGAAGATACATATGTGAATGTAGATTCCTTATGTGAAAAAGTTTGTATGGATTGTCTGATATTAACAGGATAAAATTTGGCAAAAATCTTAAATTAGAGGTCGGTTTGCTTGGATGGATGTGTGATATGGGGTACTGCACTGATCAGAGCATATATTTTTTAAATTTAAAACTTTTCTTTGAAACCTTTCTGACTTGAGTAATTAAGCCTGCAAGGGTATCTTAAAACCTGGTGTCTAAAGTCACCTAACTTTGGATTTATCGGCATAAAGCTCGCTACAGGAGTCATTTACAAAACAATAAGAAATGAAGTTGTCCTTAAAAAAAAATATTTGTTCTCTTTGAAACTTTTTTGACTCGGGTCATTGAACCTGTAAGAATATTTGAAAATCTGGTGCCCTAAAGTCATCTGACTTGGGAGTCATCGGCCTAAAACTTACTATATGGATCATCTAGAAAGCTTAAGGGAGAGTTTAAAAAAAAAAAATCAGAAAAACCTAGTGCATAAAAAAGCAAAAGCACTAAATGCTTTGTCTTACCTAACACCTGTTCGAGGGAATTTGATTTTCAATAAGAGATAATTAGCCTAATTGATTCCTAGTGGTCAAAGCAATCAAATAAATTGAGAATCCTTATTCATTGATGTGCTAACTTATAACCAATAACGTCCACCTGAATTGGAAAGGGTGAAAATAGTAATGAAAAATTTAATCTTAAATCACATACCGGTAAAAGAGTAAAAACGAATAAGTTTGGGGTTGTGTGAATCTTACGAGAGATTAAAAGATATATTTGACCTATAGGGTTGAAAATTGGAACAACTTGTGAATTCATTAATGTATACTTGGTTCTTCACACACTCACATCAGTTTTGCATTAAAAAAGTAGATATTAATTTGGTATTGTTGCTTTGAAGTAGTTTGTAGATTTAATGCCGTGATTTCAAATCCTAAGGTAAAAAGCTAAACGTCTAACCAAATATTTTTGCATGTTTGTGTGTTTATTGTTATTTAAGTTATTGTTTCATTCTTGCATTCTTGACAATAGACAATTCTGTTATGATTAATTTTCTTTTCCAAGATAAATTAAATCTATCATATCCACGACCCAAATCTATTCCTAGTTCGAATTCATATGAATAGAGCGCGTTCAATTTCACAATTATCTCAAAGATTGCACGCGTGATAAATCTTATTCCTAAAAGTTATTGCATGCATATTAATCAAGCAATGTTCTAAACCTATTGTGAACCTCCCAGCACTACAACAAGCAACTATATATTCAATTGGTGATCAGACAATTAAATAATAAAATTACGTATGCAAGATTAATCAAGAATTGTAGGAATTTAACTAAACCACGTGACTTGAATTAAAAATAAGCAATAACGATTTCATCTTCATCCAATATATGAGAAAATTAGCCTAGCATAATGTTGAAATTAAACAAAGAAAGTTTAGACGACATCACCAAGAAATTGTCGAAACGTGATTAAATCCAAAAGTATTCTCGGCTTTGCACGTGTGTGTATTTTTCTTCAACTTTGATCGATTGTTTTCTTCTCAAAACTGCCTTTTTTTAATTGTGTGTATAGAGAATTAATTCTACAGCAAGCAGCCCCTTCTCTTTGTCTCAAGCAACGTGTATGGAAAATATATCAACTCCAAGTAGCCATCTTTTCTTTCTATATGAATTCCCCTTAGTTGGCGTGTGATAATCTATGGTTCTGCCTTTCTCTCACAACAGCAGACGGCTTCTTCCTCAATTATTTCTTTCCTAGGCAACCACAATACTTTTGTAATTTCCACTAGTTGGCATGTGATAATCTCCAGTAGCTACCAATGTTTTTCTTCAAAACCAATTCCAATTGTTTTGTGGGCGGCCGTTTTGTGTTTTGTAATTTTCCCAAGATTTGCAGTCACCTTCTCTCTCTTCCTTTTTACTGCATGTGTGTGTGTCTATATATATATATATATATATATATATATATATAT